TAATAATTGTTAATCACGTGGATGTAATGATTGTTAATCATGTGGATGCAATGATTGTTAATCATGTGGATGCAATGATTGTTAATCATGTGGATGCAATAATTGTTAATCATGTGGATGTTATAATTGTTAATCATGTGGATGTAATAATTGTTAATCATGTGTGTCTGCTGTGAACAATAATCATTTTCACATCATGAACAGTTTCTCAGAATCACCTCTAAGTGTCGCCAATGGAACCAGAACCACAGAAACGTGACACCAGCTCTGGAGTTGGTGTGGGGCTGCGCACATTTTCACACTCAGTTGAGTTTTAATACATCCGGAGATTTGCGTGGATAATGACGTACGCAAGGTTTTTGTGCGTACGCACCGTTGACACATGAGGCCCCTGGTCTGGTTTCTCAGCTCTGCTGCTCTTTTGAACTCTTTAACCTTGTCAACATCAGGTTTCTCTGTTTGCACAGTCAGTGGGCGAGGAAACTGGACCTTGACCCTGATCATTAAACGTGTTTTATAACGGTTTTATACTGTTACATGTGAAATGTCATCCCCTAGTAGACCAAGTAGACCGCACTCTGCTTGTACAGTTTCGCAAGCATCCTCATATCACTTATTGAAAGAAGAAAAAAAAAACAAAGCACGTGATCATTCAGCTGTTCTTTATCTAGGGAGGACTTCTGACCTCCCAACCAGATGCCTAATAAACCAGAGAGAGTGACGAGATGTTACCGTTCGTTCTCTTTTTTGTCAACATTTGTCTCGGTCAACTGGAGTCCGTTGCGGATTCGTACGTRGCGGCCGTGTACGAGCATAATTTGATCCTGAACCCGGATCCTCGCGTGCCTGTGTCCCGCCACGATGCCCTGCAGCACATGCAGAGAAACCTGGACGTGTATGAAAAGCAGGCTGCCCTGGCTGCACTGCAAGTATGGACTGAGGGATTCCAACTTCCCATTTATAAAATACTTTGTTTTTGAGTCATTTTAAATATATTCRAGCCTGAACATTACGGAGACACTAACAGAAAGCAGATAATATCAGTAAATTGCAACCTATTAGTTGGGATATTTATTTGCAAATTTGTGAGTTGAGTTTGATGTCAGCAGATGAACCTGTTCCATTATTCTGTTCCCACACAGGGCGTTCAGATACTTGTGTTTCCAGAAGATGGCATTCACGGGTTCAACTTCACCCGTTCATCCATCTATGGCTACTTAGAAACCGTTCCTGACCCACAACAGGAGAGCTGGAACCCCTGCAAGGAGCCAGGCAGACACAACAACACTGAGGTCAAGAGTCCAACAAAAATCTGGGGGGTGTGTGGGGGTGGGGGTTGCTTCATTGGGAACACAAGCAGATACAGCGGGTAAAAAAGGTATTGAACAAGTCAACATTTTTCTCAGTAAATATATTACTAGAGGTGCTAATGAC